TTGTTGTAGGAATGGACAAACTCTAGGTGGCTAATGCTCTATTTCCACCTCTGAGCCTCAGTTTGCTAAGGTATAAAATTGGGTGGCAGTTCTGCCTCACAGGTTATTGCCATGAAGATTAGATAGGACTGGTATAAAGTGCTTATGATAATGCCTGGCACATAGTTGGTGCCTAAAATACCACTTTCTTGCTAAATTCTTTTTCTTTTATACTTTTTATTTCTTTTTCATTCATAATACCTGAATGGATTTCTTTCTTAGCACAGCCTTTCTCCCCAAACCCCTCAACTCCCTATTCCAGGATGGGTCAATTGCTTCCCATGCCCAGTCCAGCCTTCTCTTTACTGATTTGCCTGACCAATGTGGTGCCAATTACATTGCCCTACCTGTTCTGTCCTTCTCACCCTGGCTTACTCTGTTTCCCCTTCTTCAAATGCCTTTACTTCTCCAGCAGTGTAATTTCTACATGCCCTTGAGGCAACATACAAATGTCATTACCTCTTTCCCTTATTTCCCCAGGCAGAAATGACCTCTGCCTCCCATGAACACCAAGGAGCATTCTACTTTTCTCATTCATCAAGTCAGTCAGCAAATATTGATTGAGGATCTGTTATGACCAGGCATTGTGCTTGGTGCAGACAGGCTCCCTGGTGTTGTAAGTGTATGTTCTAGACAAGAAGAGGCAGACTGTAAGCAAGTAAACAAGATATTATTAAGTGGTGAGGAGTAATGTGAGAGAGTGAATTTAGAGCTTATCTGGATAGGGTAGAGAGGGAAGGCTGTTCGGGGCAGATGGCACCTGGAGTTGACACGTAGATGATAAAGAACCAGTCTCACAAAGATCTGGTGGAAGAGGATTTCGAGGCCAGGAAACAGCCAGATGCAAGGGCCTTGGGATGAACTAAGTATCGCATGTTTGAAAAACGTGACAAAAGCTGGGTTAGCTGGAAAATAGTGATCAAGTGGGGAAGGGTATGAAATGTCATCTATTCAGAATCTCCTTTTTAGAAGCTGGGCATAGGGCGATGAGAAGCATGTGGAAGACTGGACTGAGGTACTTTGCCTTTTTTCCCCATCTCCTTCAACCTTGTGTTACACTTATTGGTGTTTATGTGCCTTATTTTTTCTTTGTGACTATCAATTCTATAAGAGATAGGACTGTCACTTGTTTCCTTTTCCCCCATGACATCCATCTATGGACATGGGTGCTCATTGCCTGTGTTTGTTAGAAAGAAGAGTGTATATTCCGTGATAAAAATGAAGCTCAGCCAGACCTTTGGGGGATGGATAGGGCTCTTCTGTACATCTTTCGACTGGATATGGCTGCAGAGCAACCTGCAGAAAGATCCTGGGCAATGTTAGCCACTTCTGCAGGCAGAGCACCCTGCTAGGTCCTCAGCAACATGCTGTTGGCTTGGACCAGCTGCCTGACTGGATCCCCAGCTTTGGCTTCTCTGACCTGTCTAGATTTGTGCTGGGAGCCAAAATCTTCTGACCCCAGCTCACTTCTCTGCACAGCCTCTTCCTTGCCTAAATCCAGGTAACCATCTTCTCTGTTGTTTTACCTGATTTAGGACTCTTGCCTTTTCTATTAAGACTTGCCCTGCCATTACCCACATCTCCACATACGTTCATGATGCCATAATTATATAAAACAGGGTTTCTTAAGCTCAGCACAATTGACACTTGAGGCTGGCTAACTCCTTGTTATGAGAGGCTGCCTCATGTGTTGAAGGATGTTTAGCAGCGTCATTGGATATCTACCCACTAAATGCCAGTAACATCCTCTCCTTCTAGTTGTGACAACAAAAAATATCTCCAGCTATTGCCAACTGTCTGGGGGGACAAAATTGCCTCTAGATGAAAACCACTGAGATAAGGCTACACCCAGAAGAAATCTTAGAGATCAATTAGATTAACCCCCTCCTTTCATTTCAACCAATAAAGTCTCTGAAGCCCAGAGTAGGAAAATGAGTCGCCCAAGGTCACACTACAAATTGGCAGTGATGTAGGCAATAGACTTCCTGCCTTTTAAATCTTAGTCCACTGCTTTTCCTTAACGTGGTGAAATCTCCTCTGGAGGTGGTCAAGAAAAATAGAAAGATGGTGACTCTGGAGAGAGACAGATTTGGATTAATATCTAGGCCAAGTTCTTGGTTGGCTACTTGACTTGGGTTCTGAACCTCTCTGAGCTTTCATTTCCTCTTATGTAAAATGAGAGACATAAATTGCCACCTCACAGGGTTGTTTTGGGAACTAAATGACAGGTATGTGAAGTCCTAGCATAGTATCCAGGAGCAGAATTTAGAGCTGACACCAGCAGGACTGAGTGCCCATGGCAGATGGAGCTGATAGACAGTGTTTTCTAGTAGAATGTTAAAAATGCAGGTGATGGGCTTTGGTGTCTCTAATGGAAAAAGCCAAGTAGTTTGAAAAATAACTGGCTGTGTTGAATTGGCTGATTCATTTGACAAAGCTGAGCCCCCTCTTTCCTGAGGGGTTACCTATGATGATTGTAATGTACCTCTAATATCCTGTGTCTCTGTCTTCCCCCAACAAAATGTTATTTACAAACATACCTAAAGGGTAAAGGAGCATTTAGAGCCCAGGTTGGGACTGCGTCTTTTTCTTTCCTTTTATCAAATGAATTTAAGAGCATTTTCTCCCTTGGGACCATAGAGATTTGACTGCTGTCAGGTAACCTGGTTTCTGGCGTTGGTCAAATACACTAATAATAGTGCTTTGTAATTTCCAAAGATGTTTTCATGAGCATTTTCTTTGATCCTCTGGATGACTCAGCTGTAGTTGTTCTCAATCCTGGCTGCACATCATAATAACACGATTGTTCAAAACAAAGCAATGAAACAAAACAACTGTGCCTGCACTCAGACAAATTATATTTGGAAATGCATCTTGGGCATTAGAGATTTTGTTTAAAGTTTCCTAGGTGATTCCAGTGTGCAGTTAGGGTAGAGAATCACTGTCTGTTTTGAACATCAGAAGTTCCATTTATTTGGTAAGGAAAATGAGGCTGAGGATAGTTAATTTTCTTGTCTAGAAATGGAGGAGAAGCCAGGTAATGTGAACCCTAATTTACTGGCCTTTCCATGATACCACATTGCTTATTTACGCATGTTGTGATCTGGGGAAAGTAGCTTCTTTTTCAAGAATCTCAGTTTTCTTATCTTTTAAGTGAAATAGTGGTGGAACTCCACAGATATTCTTTCTTAGAAAGAACATTGTCATTTAGTAAGAAGGGAACTTGCCCTCTTGTTTCTCAATTAGGGTAAGTTGACTTTTGGTATTATTTCAGTGAAAGTTATCTATTGCCATTTCTGTAGGGCCTTGATAACCCCCTCTTAGTACTTATCAGAGTGTTACTGATCAGGTAACCTAAGTAGGGCTATAAAAGATTCAAGAGCAGAAAAAATAGATGTGTATTTCAACTCTCACACCTGCAGTGCCTCCTTGATAGGAGTTTGTCCCAAATCTAGCACTGACCCTGGTCTTGTCCACACAGAACAATAGTCCTATTCAGGAGGACAGCCCTGAGAATCTTCCCCAGGTTGGGTCAGTTGTTCTGCAGAAGGCCTGCTTTTCAGTTCTTCCTTGCTGCCTCTTTGCCTGGATCTATTTCAAAGGAGCTAAAGGGACTCTCTCTCTTTTACTCTTCTTTTTGCAGTTTTGTCTGGATTAGTGATCTCTCATGCCCCAAAAGGATAGGCTGACTTTCCCCAAAGTGTGAGAAATGTCGCTTTAACTGTAGTTACTTTGGCATAACAGAAAGATAGAGAACTATTTGCCTGTTATTTTCCTTACCATCATGCATCATGGCCAGGTTAACAGAGGGGTGAATAATGTAAAGGCTTTGGATTCAAGCAGATCTTGCTCAAATCTCAGTTGTGTCATTGGACTTTGAGCAAGTTAATATCCTCTCTTCAAATGAGTTCCTTATTTGTAAGGTCCTACCTTAGAGAGCCATTGTCGGGATATAAAAGGTATTAAGTGTGCTTAACATAGGAAGTGCTCAGTAGTGCTCTTATAGCCATTATGGTCATTATTCTAACTATTTGATGGTAAGGGGACAGAAATCAGTTTCTCCTCATGGCAGCTGGTGTTAAGTGTTCCTTCATTCCACATCTCCCTACATGTGAAAGGTGACTGCAGGTGGGTGTGCCTGAAGCTTCATGCAAGTTTGCTAATTTCTTTCCCTTCCCCAACCCTTTTCTTCTGTTGCTGCCTGAAATGCCACTGTTGGAGCTTCTTTCATTTATTTTAACCCCCAACACCTGTTAATATGTAAAGTTCCTTGGGAAAGAAAAAACAATTGAAGCTGTTCATAAGCATCAGTGTTTAAGTGTCAACAAATGTCAGATTATTTACAGAAAGCATATCTTTCTTGAGTGGCCTGGGGACCGATTATCTACTTATAAACCAGGTCTAGATTTGTTTTTTGTTGTGACTCTGTGAATATCACAGGTATACCTGGACTCCAGTTATTGTAAGCCAGCCAGTTCCTTAGAGGTACTGTGACCACTGCAAGTGGCTCCTTACGCTAGGAAACTGTAGCCCTTGAAAACCAAGTACCAGTCTTTTTTTTCCTATTTGGATGAATAACTTACAATGATCTAGTTCAGCTGAAATAATTTGTTAGCGATCTCCTTGTGAGTTAAGCATAGTGGCCACCATTTAAAAAAGTGTACTGGACTTAGGCTCCACAGTAAGAAAATTACATAATCCCTACAGCTATGGCTTCAGAAATGGCACAGAAATGGAATGGACAAATATGAAAAGTAGATAATGGATCCACAGTGATTTAATTCTCGGTGATATTTTTACTTTATGCAAATACCAAAAGAAAAAAAATAAACCTGACTACCTGGGAAGAAAAAAACCCCAGAAACCAAAAAAAAAAATTTAGTGTTTGATCAAGCAAAAATCCTTTCACACATCTGCCAAGAGAATTAAAACAAATATAGATGTTAAATAAAAGGCCCAGGTACCAAAGAGCAAAATTTAATGAAAGCTAGAACTGTTAAGTATGGATTCCTGTTGAGAAAAATGTCAATCTCTTTCAGAGTTTTCCCATAGCTCTATTTTTAAGAAAAGTGTAGTAAAAATACATAAGACAAGTTAACTTTTTTCTTGCTTTTGTCTTTCCCGTCACTCCTCCATTGATGAAAGGCATTTTCCACTGGAGTCTTGGACCCCCACAGAGCATGGACCCTCATTTCTAGCCTCAATGGCCTCTCCCTATCAGATCAGGTTACTGGTGAGCTCAGTAGCTGGAAAGGCATCCTACCAGGCCAAAGGCAAAAGGTCTTTGAAGCATGTTGATAGTAGAGGGTTATTGCCAACTCCTCTGAAATGCAGATTCCCTAATGGCAGGTCGTACCAGATTCTGCAGTGGTAGGCTAAGAGCTGAGAAAAATCTGGTGAGAGGGCAGGCAGGGGCTGGGAGCGTATCAGCTGGCAGTAGTAGAACGTGATAATCCATCTTGAGGGTCCTGCTTCACGTACCATGCTCACACTGACATGTGAGAGACTGAACAACACTCGAGCTGCAAGGGCAAAGAGTTTGATTTTGGGATGGTTCTTTGATATGACTGATGAAAGAAGAATGGGAGGGACATAGAGATGGTAGGTGTCCACTGAGAGAATCCACAGATGAAATCAATCATGCTGTGCCTACTTAGAGGCAGGCTCCAAAACCTTTGTCAATTGCTAATGATAACCCCTAGCAGAGAAGACTGGATAGAAGTAGGGAGTAAGGGAACAAGCCAGAATATGGTTATCAATAGAAGCTAATGACACATGGCACACACTGAATCATGCACCTAGGAGAGTGGCAGCTGGAGAGCTGGAAGCCAGTTGCCCCAAGAACTAGAGTTGGAATCTTCAAGGAGGCCATATGCTAGAAACAGCACTCTCCCAACCAAAGTTGCAGTCAACCTGGGCTTCTCTCCACGAGCCCTGTCACCTCTCCAGTCTTGCTTTAGTTCAGCTTTGTAGTCACAATCCTGGGTGTATTGATTCTGGTCACTGGAATATAACACTTCCATTCTGTCTTAGCCAAAGGGAAGGGCTGCTTCCTTGGCTTAAAAGTTGGGATCAGGGACCTTAAGAACCCCAGTGTCATTTTCAATTTAATCCATCTCCCTTTTCTCCTTCAAATAATTCAGCCTAGGGTATTTTACCTTCTAAAGATGATAGAATGTTATCTGGCCACATGCTAAAATAACACTTTTATATGGACATAAAAACCCAAGTTCTTTGGGTCAGCCTCTCAAACCCAAGAGAGGGCACACCATGGAAGGTCCTATTGTTTGTGGGCTTTGACGAAACTTCCTTTTCTAAAATTCTTTTATCACCTTTCTTTTGCACTTAGCTTGCATAGCATTTCTCCCCATATCAGAGGCTCTGAAGAAAGAGAGTCTCTTTCACAATAGGGCTCCTGCTCAGATGTTAAACAAATGAAAAGCAAAAATCACAGATGTTATCTTCCTGGCTGTCAGCTGTTCTCAAGTCTCTACTTGGTTCAGGAGACCAATTGCCCTTCAGCCACCAGGGTGCCGTTGGGCTTGAGCGTGGTCAGGAGGGCATATTTCTCAGGGCTAAGGCTGACTCTGGGACAAAATATACCATTCCACCTAAGGCCGATGAGATGGCTCTTACTTATTAAAAGAAGCTTTATCTGGGCTTCCAGCAATAACTTGATGAGTCCTCCTCTGAGTGCACACCTGCCTTTGCCCTCTCCACCACCCTTGGACTGAGGTGCTTTTCACATGTATTCCCAACTAAATCAGGCAGTCCTCTGTCAGCAGCTCACTTCTTCATTGACCTCTGTCTCCATCCAGAGCTCAGGGCCGTGGAGTGGAGGGTAACTTGGAGAGCTCCCATGGCGAATTAATTTGAAGGTTGCTTTTTATGTTTTTTCCTTTTGCTTGCTTTTAAGGTGCAATAAATTGTGAATCTCCAACCTAAAAACTGAAGAGGGATAGGTAGGGAGTTGGGAATAAGAAGGGGAAGGAAGGGGCCTAACAGAACCTGCAAACCATGAATATTAGTAAGAAAAAAATCGCACAAACTAAGACACATTAAAAACCAAATTCAAAGAAAATGGTACAGTTTCCTCATTAGTGTTCTGGTGACTCCATTGTCAGAGACACAGGCTCTATTAGACAGGGTTATTTCCCCTTATTGCAGTGCAGTGTTATTTATCATCCTTACTTAGCAATGGAACAGCATGAAAGAACATCAAAAAAGGAAATGGGAGAGTAGAATGGTTTCCAGTTCTTCAGGAAAATCTGTTGAATCATCCTCCTTGTGGTCGCAGTGGTTGGTAGCGGTTGTGTTTCATTTTGTTGTTTTTGGCACTGAAGGGTTTGGGGTAGGGCTGAGGGAGCCCAAGCCTGCTCCCCAAGGGGTCTCCATCTGCTCCAGTTATAATCCTGTGGCTCCCAAGGGCATCCCTGAACTGTGGCTCATGCAGGGAATCGATTGCATGGACTTGGGGAAGTCGTGGCTGACCACTCGGCCATTCTCTCCACTACCGCCACCACTGGCTCCTGCCCCACTGTTTCGGGGGAGTGTCGATGTCCGTATGGCTTCATTGATGGATTGCTGTGGGATCAAACAGAAACCCTTTTCAGGAGGACCGTGGGGTTCTTCCCCGGGTCCTTGGCAATGATTGGCAAGGAGAATGAATCAACATTGGACCTAAAATAGCACCCCTAACCTTTTCCCCATCCAACTCCTTTCCTAATCTGCAATGCAAATTTTGACTTCCCCAGAACTCACAAAACTGTTTCAGGGCTCTGCACAAGTCTGATCCCCTCTCTGAACCTCATGTTCTCTGTGTAATGAGCTTTGCCGGAGTGGGTGATCTCTAAGATTCTTTCCAGTTCTTATATTCTGTTTTCTAAAGTTGGAATAGTGCTATGGTTACACTGATGATAATAGATGTAGCAACATGAACCAAGTGGAAAGGATCTGGAAATGGGGTTTAGGAAACTTGGAATTTAGTTCCAGGCATGATATCAACTAGTGTGTGACCTTGTGCATATCTCCTTACATCTCTAGACCCTTTTAATCTCCATGTTTATAAAATGTGTTTATCTCCTTGCCTATATAGGCTTTTAAGCAAGTGATGCCACTGTGTGAAAAATTATTTGAAATGTTAAAAATTAAGGGTGTGTTATTGTTGGGTTAAAATTAAAGCCTACCTCTGATTTACTTCAGGGAAATGCTATCCTACTGCCAGCAGCATGTGTTAAGGAAATACAGGACTTGTTTGAATAATACAATAGGCAAAATGTAGTTGGAAAGGGGTGTGTGCAAAAAAAAACTGTGGATGCATTGCAGAGATCATTATCTGTGAAATGCTTTCCATTGGCACATAAATCCTGCACTTCTAGACTGACACTTCAGATGAGTGCTAGTATAAACTTGTGATTTCTAGAATGTTGGAATTCTAGATATGAAAAGAACTCCAACAATCACTACAGGACCAGATTAATATGGGACTAGAACCATACCCTACCAGATGAGAGGGAGGGTTCTGTTCTGAGTCCCTTTGAACAAAGAAATTTTATTACCTGAAATCCAAACCCTTATCTCTTCCTGTCACTCTAACTTCCTATTAAGGGATACTCATAGAATTTTTGAGGTGGGGCTTGGTTTCTTGGTAGGAATCTACATAAATGAAAATTGTTTGTAAGTTGAGAGGTTTCTTTCTCTCAGACCAAGCCTACTTCCTTCAGGGTGCATTCTGTTCTCACCTTCTTCTTGAAGCCCCCCCTCACCTTCGTACTCATACATTGCACATTCTCTGGTGACAGCTCTGTGGCAGCTATGTAAGTTTCATCTTCTTTAAGGGAGCTAACTCCCTGGAGGGCAGCATGGGCCATGTCTTCTTATTTCTGAACAGTCTCCCAGTGTCCAGCTTAGAGTTAGATGCTTAATTGATAGTCTTGAATTTGTCTAAGAAAACTCAGCCACCTAGAATCCTTCTTAAAAATGTTGTGGCTTTCTCCTTTGCATATTACCGTGATTCTAGTGACCAGAAAAGAGTGTCTACCTACTGTGGCCAGACTGACCTAACAGGGTGGTTTTGACCACATTTTTGTTCTTTCTGCAATACTTTGATGGGAGTATTCTCTTATTACTGGTGATTCTGGCAATGTTTTTTAATGTTATTTCTTTTTAACATCAATAATCCAGGCAACTTTGCCCCATACGATGCTCTACCCACATTGGTTCTCTCTCCTCCTCAAAGCCATAGTTGATTTATTTACATTCTGCCTTGGCTTTCCTCCACTGAAGAACAAGTTTGACCTGGATTGCATTCTTCTATGTCAAGGCTGAATACAGACCACTACTCTATGGGGGAAATGTGAAATAAAAACACAAGGAATTAATGGTTACTTATTCTCACTTAAAAATGTTGAAAAGAAAATTACTTTGTATGTATCTGTAAAATATGGAATCTTCTATTGATTAGCTTGAAATGTCTATCTTCTGTGATTTTTCTTTGCCTCATTCCTTTAAGTAAAAAAAAAGCTTAAAGTTCACACTGTTGACCTTGGGCTTTGTTTCTCAAAATGTCTCACACATTCCCATAATATTCCATTGAAGTCGGTGGTCCTTGCTGAATTTATCTTAAAGGAGAAGATTGATGGCACAGTCAGCATTGCTGCCTATTGAAGTGTAAGAGAACTTGGCCTAGGGTGTAACTGAAACCCTCCAATGTCATGCCATTGAGAACTGGTTTTCAAGGAAGCTGAGCACGCCTCAGAGGTCAGTGACTCCACACACCTGTGGTAGTGGGCACTGCCTGCTCACTGGCTTCCTTTCTAATAATAGTTATGGGATCTTAGAGATGAACAGAGTCAAAATTCTGGAGCAGAAAGCAATGCTAAAAATGACTATATCACTAGTTCTCAAATTTGGCTGCATGTTGCAAGGACTTGGGGAGTTTTGGGGTAAAAAACACTGGAGCCTAAGACCTAATTGTAGAGATGATGACTTGATAGGTGTGGTGTGTGACCTGGACTCCTTGAGTTCTAAAAACTCCCCATGGGGATTCTACTATACAAACCAGGCTGAAACACACTGATCTAGTTTATTTTATCCACTTTACAGAGAAAACTGAAGACTTATGACAGACTTGCTTAAGCTTACAGTTATAGGGGTGAGAGCCTTTTAACTGTGGTTCTTCCTATCCCCCTGTAGCTAAGCAGATGCCATTTCTTCTGGGAAATGTGGTTCTCCCTTGTTCATGTTTGAAATACTAGCCATTCTTAAATTTTATCCTTAGAATTGTTGTTTTAAAATTGATATTCAGGGAGAAAAGTGTCAATGAAAATCCAAAGTTGGCTCTTTAGAGACTCTTTCCATTTCTCGAATGGTGATTGCATCCTAAGTTCTCAGCTGCTTATTTTTCTACAAAAAGTCTGGGAAGCCTCTGCACATGATACAACACCCTAAGGAAAGCTCAAACCTCAGTAATGACCTCATCCCAGCACATGTGCTGAGAGAGTGGCTGCCTGCTGTGGTGGGTGCACCACCCCTCTACCCCACCCCTGCATCATCAAGTCTCTCAGCTGCTCATTAATTCCATGGAAATGAGCAAAGCCTCAATTGCTGTAGCTTAAACATGGCCCATGTTAGCACAGCCACATGCAATTACGAAAGGTCAGTGGCTTTCTAGGGGGTGGGAGAGGCTAGGGATTATTTTCCTTTGGGAGCAAGGTGGTGAATAATAATGACCCTGGTTGTTTTTCACATCAGCTAAGAATTTAGGTTCTTGTCTGTTTTTTCAGGCAGAGGGAAGAGGTGGAGAATCTGAGACTTTATTCAGTTTGGAGTTTGTCTTTGTTATATATTTTTGCTACTGTATGACTATTTAAATTGTACACTAATGTTCTGGTTGCCTGAATGCCTCTTGCAGTCCCCAATTTTCACATTTTTCTCTTCCCTCAGTTTTCCTGTATCCTGGTCTCCCTCTCCTTTTTCTGATTTCTGGGAGAGAGTTCTGGTCTTTGGGTCTCACACTGTTGTGCAGCCTTTGCCACCAACTCTCTTCCCGTGGTACATTTCTTTCACACTGCGTATCTGTTAAACATCACTTTCTTAGGGGAGCCTTTGTGACTTGCCCCAGCCCCCACCCCCCAGCCCAATTTACCAAGCATGGCAAAGTCCCCCATTTTGCAGGGGGTAGACACCCTCTACCCTATATTGGGAGCTACATTTCTGTTAATGCAACCTCAGCCAGAATCTACCTTTGTAGTGCTCACTCTTGCCTCTGCTGTGTTCACTGTCAACTTCAACTCCTAACTTTTAATCTCATTACCCTGTCTCTGGCTGAAGTAGTTATTTTCTTGGGCCTTATGTTTATTGTCTTCCTTCCTTCCCATCCTCCTTACTTCTTCACAGCTGCCTCTTTCCCTGTCACCTTCCTCACAGCAGCTTGCTGCACCCTGCCTTGGCCTGAACTCAACCTCCTGTCACTCCCCCCTTTCTAGTAGAGGGACTCCCAGGAAACCCAGCTGTGCAAAACAACAGGTTAGTGAAAAGGCCTGGGAAGACGATGCCACCTTCATCCGCTTGGACTCGCTACGGGATTTGTAGCAGAACTCGATTAAGGCAACCAGCATGGCTAGTCCAAGTCCTCCGATCAGGATGTAGAACACGCCTGCCACATTGCTGAGGCTCAGAGCACTTGTCTTGTCCTAGGAAGAGGAGCAGGGAAAGGGGGGAGGGGACAGAGTAAAGTGAGCCGAGAGGCTAGAGATGATCTAAATAACAGCATTTTTACACACATACACTTGACCCCATCACCCTCTTTAACATTGATAATAGTTGGAAAGGCTTTATAGTCAATGACAAAGTATTAAACACCCTCCCCCCACCAAATGGGTATGTGTGTGTGTATGTGTATAACAGTTTTCCAAGCTTCCCTGATTATGTTTAATTCATAATTACATTTCCTTCCTCCCTAATGCCACAGGAAATTTAGCATGGCTTTGACCGAGATCTGTACCCTTGAGCTTACCCCATTTTTTCAGAAAAGTGCCCCTTCATTTTCAGCTCAGTTCCTGCCCCCTCAGTTCCTGCCTGTGTGTCTGTTGCTCAGAAACACTTTTGCTTTGCTTACTGTTTATGTCTCTGAGCATTTTCCTGAGGGTCGGTACTTAAAATGAACTTTCCCCTAGATGTGCATTTGACTTCAATTTAATAAGACAGTTATTGCATATAAAATAGAGATCTACCAATGTATACCTTTAACTTACTGCTCTGAGTCCTAATTTAGGAAAAAAAACTAGGGGCTTGGAATAGTAAAAAGGCACTGAGGTAGAAAAATGGCTCTATTAAATCCTAATAATTATGCTTAATTGGTATCATTTTTCTGTTGGAGGTGCTTGCTAAAAAACACTGTAGGCAGACTCAGGTGGCTAAATTTAGAAATCTGTTGCCTGAGGTGAAAGATCTTGTGCTGGTTTGGGATGAGAGGGTCATAGATCAGGGTGCATAATTTCTAGGGGTCTGGGGACAAGTACCCATGTCCGATAGGAGGCAACAGAGCTTACTTTGTGGAGTAAGGCCACAAAGTAGAAAGGCCATCAGATATGATCCCTAAGTTCCATCACCCCCAGTAGGGTTCAGGGGACTGAGGGACAGTATCTTCCCAAGTGGTGAGAACAACTGAACAAAACTGGTGGTCATGGTGGCAGGTGGTGACCCAGGGAGAGCAGAAAACTGCTTAGTGCAGTTCTTGACATGAGAACATCTTTAAGTCCTGAATACCCATCCTCAGATGCCATAATGGCCCTCCCACCTTTACTTGTATTGTTTGCTCAGGTACAGCAAGTTTCTCATTGAATGAAAATAAAACGTATGCCTCAGCTGGCACAGGTACACACCATGACTGGTTGGTTGGTGACATTGGATAGGATAACACTTTTACACCTCTCCTTTTTTTTCTCAAGTGGGGTTGCACAAAGGGTGAACTGTCTTGCCCTAGGGACTCTTTCAACATCTGCCTGTTGGAATGTGGGCATGTTGACCAGGTCATTGACCTCTGCCCTAGTTCTACATGGTGCATTGTACAGGATCCAGCAGGGCTGAGCATGGGGACTGCAGCTGGCAAATAGCAGCATGCCTTCCTTCCCCAGAAGCAGCCTCGGCCAGTAGAGCTGTAGGATTATCTAAAGCATACCCCTTTCATGGCTTCCTGTATTTCTAAAGCAGATGTTTCTTGAATGTGGGTTACACTTGGCAAGGCATATTCTCACTTTGGAAGTAGTGGAAATGATTATTCAAAGGAATAGAACTTCTCTTGCTCTGGTATAAAGGTCCAGTAAAGAAAATGGGGAACAATGAGTATGGTGGTTGGCTCAAAAGTTGGTTGAACAATGAAATTCCCACTTGGTATGATTTTTTTAGAACACCCAAAATGTCTCCCTGTTTGTTGTTCAGGAGGAGGTCTATAATTCTGCTTCTGGAGAGTAATTCAGTGTCCTTGGTTAGTGGAATCATGGTTCGTGGAAGTTCCTGTAAAACATTTCTGTATGGATAGGTCTGGGGTGTGGTGGGGAGGCATGTTAATGTATTATCAGCTCACACCTTAGGCTGGAAGTGCGGTGACCATGATGCTCAGAGGGGGAGCAGGCCTAGGGGAAGGTGGCAGAGAAGAGGCTGCAAGGACAGGAAGAAGTCCTGCTGACTTCAAAAGCTGACAAGCCTTTCAATAGCTGAAGTACGCCATGTGTCTTTGGCCACCAAGGCTGTTTCTGTTTCCTTCCTCATGGTCTTTGCAAGTTCACCATGGTTGTAGATTGCCTTCGAGGATAAGGGAGTCATGGATGTCTTTGTTTGCTACTATTAAAAAAAAAACTAAGGGGGCATCTGCCTTCCTGGCTGTAGAAGGTGGAAGGTCCACTTCTGGTATATCTGGGAAGGAAGCAGGGCTAGATATTCATATGGAAGTGGGGGTAGGGAACATATTCTATATAACTGCAGAAAGAGGAAGGTCCAGTGGCTGAGCATTTGATTATGTCCAGATACGGAGAACATCTCTCACTTCTGAAAGAGGTCTCTGGCCCAGGGAGATGGCAGTGTATGTGTGTGTGAGGACACATCTCATACACACGAAGAGGGAAACAGATGGTATTGGGACTGCCACCTCTCCTCTTACAGAACACACAGTGCCTCTCACCCTTCTCTATGCCAATGCAATTCTGTAGTAGCAGGGGTCAGGGCAGACTCAGGGAAGACACACTTAGATGTAGCACAACTCTCTGAATTTGGCATAATTTGACAGGGTATGGGATGAAGGGCTGGTGGTGGTGTCCTCTTTGCCCATGCAATTAAAGAGTTTACATGTAGGCAAGGTTTTGTGATGTCCCTTATGCATAACATTAGCTTTTTGATAGCATCAAATTTAGTTCTTTCACAGAAGGCCCAAGGTCACGCACGGTCTTCTGTTCAGTTGCCTTTAGTGACTCTCTTTGACTCACTCTGTTGGAATGTTATGGGGTATCCTAAGGCACAGACAACAATCCCTTTTATTGAAAGACCAGAGCTCTGACTCCTCCTCTGGCCCATCTTGTCCCTACAAGAGGGAATTTCCTTGTGGACTTGAGTGCAAACATCTATGTTCATGTTTCATGGGCGAGCTATAAGTTTCTCAGCCATGCCCGGGGAAAGGGGAAAGATGGAATTTGAATTTTCTGAGCACCCCTCTGGGGGACCACATTTTCCTCCCATCCCATAGCAGCTGCATTCCCAAAAGCCAAGCAGCTTGTTGGTGGGAATGAAAAAGTCACAACTTGTCTTCCGCCAGGAGGGGGAGAAAGAGAGTGACAGTACTGAGAATGACAGATGAAAAGAAAAACAAAAATTTCATCTTTCAGAATTGTTGGGCTTGTTGTTATGGTGATGAGTCCCCCCATTCATCTGTTCTCCTTAACCTGTTTTCTTATTTGCTACTGGAGAAGGAGGTTTTTTTCTTTTTCACATTTCCCCCCTTGCTCTTCCCGTATAATTGGGGACTGTCCTGGACTCGCTCTGTGTTTCTGAGCTAGCATCCCTTCCAAGAATGTGGAGCCTGCATGAGTCGTTGTGAGGAGGTTTGAGCCAGGCCTGAGGCAGATAAACTTGGAGGTTTTTGAAATGGCATATGTAGAAAGTTCTAGAGAGAAGCCAAAGCCTTTGGCCATAACACCAGTCCCCCCATCCAGCAGAGACTGCGCTGCCCTAAATAAGCCAGCAAGGACCTGCTAAGTAAGGACCAAGTTTCAGTGTTCTCCAAATGCTTCCATTCCTTCATGTCTTCCTGATGAGGGTGTGAACTCCTACGTGGCAAAGGCTGCAACTTCTGCTCTTCTCTACATTCCACAGGAATTCCACACATTCTCTGATGTGTGAACAAATGGAGTTTTGCTGCAGGCCTTCCACCTGCCTACCCTGTAACCTGATGCTGCCTTGCGGGGCCATGAGAAAAGTCAAACCCCTCTTTCATTCAGTAGACTTTCTGCTATAGTGGGCTTTCTCTTGTGCTTTTCCAGCACATAGTTTTTGGCCTCTGAGCTATTTTCCTGAGAGGTTGGTTATTACCTGGGGGTGAAGACTGAGTAGATGGCTAGGCTCACGCACTAGCTGGGATCAAAGTGAGGAAGCTATGGGGAGGCGGATTTGATTCAACTAAAGGAAAACCTTTCCACTGTCTAAAGGTGGAATGCCCTCCTGTGGACAGGGGTGAGTTTCTCAAACATGGATGTATTCAGGAAGAAGCTGGTGAGGTCATCTAAGGGATTCAAGCACTGGACAGAGTGTTATGCCAAGTGACTTTTGACACTTGTGCCAGCCCCAAGAGATGAGGCATCTGAGGAGTTCCTAGAGGGCCTGGGATCATGCCTTTTATAAATTCTCCCTAGAGACTAACCTCTTGAGGGGATGCAAAAAAGGAACTCATGTTAATTGGCAACTTCTGCTGTTCCATTTCCAATCTAGGCCAGTTCCCTAGCCTGCATATTTTCCCAAGAGCAACACAGGATGAAAATTGGCCCATTGTACTAATAATTGGCAAGGCAGATGCTGCACAAGTAAGGGTTGTGGGGGTGGCTTTCCTCAGCAGTGTGTGCTCAGGGACCGGCTGCTGTACAATGCACCACAGAACATCCTGCCTCAAAACAACACTGCGGCAGGGAACTCAAGGAGATGGTATGGGTTGTGGCGACGAGAACAGGGCTGGCTGAGGCCGAGGCCTCTTTCCTAGTGGGAGGAATTTCCCGATAACAGAAGCACCAGTCTGGGGGGAAAGTGGGTGTCTTTAGTTGTGAGCTGAGTATCTAACTGGAGCACGCACTGGAGAGCAGGGGTCTTGTGTGTGAGAGGAAAATTGAGCCCACTGTCACCAAAAGTGCTTCTGACTCATGGACCCAAAGAAAGAGTTTCAAAGGAAACATCTTTGTTTCTGGCCAGTTCCTTTTCCTATGGCAGTGATAGGAGATTTAGGATGTGTGGCTAAGGGACACTTGGCAGGACTTAGGGTATTTCAGCATTCAGTCTCTGATCTGGGTAATTACTGTATGCTACATTTATCATATTGGAGCACACCTAACTCCCAGGAGATTCACCTTGAAGTCACTGGCTCTCTTTAGACTGGGGTCCCTAACTGCTGGGCAGAGGACAGGCATAGCCTGTTAGGAACTGGCTGCACAGGAGGTAGCATCAGGTTGCTCCCATTAGTGCCTGAGCTCTGCCTTCTGTCCCTCCCCTTCCCGCTGTCCCACCCCAACCCAGTCCAGGGAAAAACTCTTCCATGAAACCCATCCCCGGTGCCTAAAAGGCTGGGGACTGCTGCTTTAGACTATTGTCTGCTCTGCCTTATAGAGACTGGGAACCCCGATTTTGAGCAGGGTTCTAGCTAAAGCCTGAGCCTCAATGGTTTAGGGGAGTTGGAATGATTTCTGCATCTCATTGTCTCAAGAATTTTTTCACATCTATGATCCTCCGACATTGTCTCTTGGGAGTGTCTTTAGTGTGGCAGCCTGTAGTGGGTAGGTGAGGGAATGAGTGGAGCATAGCATCACTGTATGATTCCCAGGTCTTCCCAGGTGGCAAATGTTCTTTACCTGTGAGAGGGGGCAGGGAGAGGGGTTTGCACTCAGTGCAGGGACAGAGTTGGCAGTTTGTACTCCTTCTGCCCTCTAGGCCTTGCTGTGGGTAGGGGTAGGAAGGTGAGTATTATTTTCTTTTCAATTCTCTTTGAATCTTTCTGATCAAGGCAATGACAAAGTCTCATTTTGGTGCTGGTCTAACACCTCTCTCATTTATTGCTTTTCCTGTTTAAGAGAGAATAGGCCTTGATTTCAACTATAACTAATTAAAAATTAAAAATTTTCATTGTATTTATTTTTGTGATAGCCTTCTATTCTTTGCAGGAAATATTGATTTTCTATTTATGATTGTAGCACTGCTACTTTTTATATAAACC